TACAGCTGTCTCGTGAGCTGCGAGACCCGAATGGCGAGAACGTCGACATCATCATTGCTCTTACTCACTGCCGAGTACCGAATGACATCAAGACTTGCAACGCCCTTGGGGCCGTAGCCAAACGACATGGCTTGGAGAATCAACACGGTGTCGATCTGCTGATCGGTGGACATGATCATATCTATTACGTGAGTCAGTCGGCAGGAGAGATGGTGGCTCAGACTAGCTGATACTGCTTGTCCTCAAGATTGGCACGGGTAATGCTGCTTGGGACGGATATTCTGGTCGACACGGAGTGCCGGGAACAACAGACGACGAGGGAGTCTAGTGAGTCACAACACACTCAATCCAGCTGAGCAGATCCACTGACAGGTTTGGGGGACCAGCCTCATCAAATCTGGTACAGACTTTAGAGACCTTACTTCGGCGCAGCTTGAACTTACACCCCAGGCACCTGGATCGGTCCGGAAACACTTGATCACGCGGCTCACCGGCAAACATCACTACGTCCTACCTTCCTCCCCGTCAGACAAGGGCTTTGACGAGATGGTCAAGTCGCTGCTATCTTCAGTATCCGAAGCGCTTTCCAAACCAGTCTGTTTCACCCTTTCACCCTTCGACGCCCGATCAGAGATCGTCAGAACGCAAGAGAACGGTCTGGGGAATTGGATCGCCGATGTCTTGATGCATGCGTATGCTGAAAGCATATTGGACGGGAAGGGAAAGAACGGGCAAACTTCAGACAAGGCTAAGCAGCAGAAAGGAGGAGCCGATGCAGTAATACTCTGTGGTGGTACCTTGAGAGGAGATTCTCAGTATGGACCAGGAAAGATCACGCTGGGTGACATCTTGGGTGAGTACAGGGGTTCAACTGCTTCGTTTCAGGCGAATACTCATATATGTCCATGAACGTCCATGAACGTCCAGAAATTCTGCCATTCGAAGATCCCGTTGTTTGTTTAGAGGTGAGCTTGGCCACGGACGGTGCCCTCTGGTGATCACAAGCTCACGAGTCTGGCATTGCAGATCGATGGCAAAGGCATCTGGGAAACACTCGAATCGGCTCTGAGCAAATGGCCAGCTCAAGAAGGCCGATTCCCCATCGTGTCTGGTCTCGTCGTGCGATGGGACCATTCCAGACCGCCAGGATCACGAATCCTCTCCATACATCAGCTCCAGCAGGAGGAGAAGGACGACGACGAGATTGAGAACCCTCAAGATTTCGTTGATTTCTCAGAGCAGGAAGATGGAACTAGAGTAGTTGTCAAGCACAAGAAACTGGCACTTGGGGAAGAAGTGAAGCGGGATAACTCCAAGATTTACCGAGTGGTGCGCTTTGCGGAATCCCATTCTTCGTTCTGACAAGTGTTCGTTCTGACTATGGTGGACAGATTACACGAGACTACATGGCGCAAGGATATGACGGCTTCGAGGCGTTAAAGCACCGCCGCTTCATTGTCGATGATGAGAACGGGCAGATCATGAGCAGCATCCTCCGCTCTTTCCTCCTGGGTGAGCAGGCATACCGGATAGAGCTTCGGCGCCTGCAGGATAAGATAGAGCTGATCATGTCTTCTTTTGAACCAGGTTCCTCATACATCTTCCGCCACAAGCAGCTTGAAGCCGCTGCCGATCACCATCTTTCCACGCGGACAGATACGGTCCTTTCACGAGCCAGATCTCAGCATCAGTACTCACCAGCATCTTCTCTCTCGTCTTCTCCTACCTCTGCCAAGGGGTATCTATCACCGCCCAACGGGGTACTATCGCCCGTATCGGAGCGAAGCGCGTCCTCTGCTTGGGGTGTGTTGAGGAGGCATGTGGTCGCGCATGATTGGTCAAGCATCAGGGATGCCATGCATGTAGCCAAGCACGAACATATGAGCAGCGTGGATGAAGTTGTGAGTGTGAATACTTCCGTCTAGGATATCATCTGTATCATGTGGACAATACATGCGAGAGGACGCTGACAGGGCGGTCCTCTGAATTAGGCGGGACAAGCTATGCGTCAAAGCCGACATATGCCGGGCGATTGGCCCAAAGGTGGACGGGCATCTGCTACTCAGACGAAGGGTCCGGATACGCAGAGCAACAAGAAGGCGGGAGATATCCTGATCGGACAAGAGAAGGAGAAGCTGGATAATCTAAGCGATGATCTTGCCATCGTATGCCCGCTTATTGACGGAAGGATGAAGGACGTCGCCGCGGATAAAGCATAGAATCGAAATCGAAGTGGATGGTCTCCGAATTAGACACGCTCTTCCCTGTCTTAGACATTAAATCGCATTTGTATTATTGACATTCCATGCATGGTTGTACATATCGCCGCTCTGGCCTGCCGCGGCGTAGAAGCCTGCATTGCGCAGAAACCCAGATTCCTCTCAACCAGACTACTCAGGCACTACTCGTCTTCCTGTATCTTCGCGCCTGCCTGATCCTTGTTCATCTTGTTCATAAGCAGCTGGTAATCCCTGTTGGCTTTCTGCTTCTCATTCATTCCGCCCCCTTTACCATCCTGAAGCATCTCGGCGCCTCCCTCCTGGGTGGGTAAGCCCTGGGCAGCTCTCCATTTGGCCTTCTTCAGTCGCTTCTCATCAGCCTTGGACGCTTCGCTGTCAGCTTCCAAGAAGTTTTTGAGGGATGGAATAGCAGACGACGAAAGTGGCTGCAGTTTGGTAGCTTGCGGTCCGTCATATTCCGGAGATGGCGAGCGAGAGTTGGCGATGGGATGGTCGTGCAACAATGGCGTAGGCGAACGGGTCGGAGATCTGACACGCGGCGCGGGCGCTGGTGCGGGTGAGACACTCTTCGGTGAAGGTGAACGCCTTGGGGTGTATGAGCGACGACGGGGTGAGTGCCGTCTTGGCGATCTCGAACGTAACGGCGAGCGATACCTCCGGGGCGATCTTGATCTTGATCTAGATCTATATCCAGCTCTGTAACCGCCCCTTGGCGGCGACGGAGATCTTCGGTAACCTCGATAAGGCGACCTTGATCGAGACCTTGTTCTGGAGCGATAACGTCGGTATCTGTATGGACTGGGTGATCTTCGATCGTAAGATCTCGATCTTGACCTGGAGAATCGCCGATACCCTCTGGATCTCGACCTCGACCTCGAAGGGGATATCGAACGATACCGGGAATCTCTTCTCCGATGATAAGGACTTCCATCTCTAGACCTGGACCGAGAGTATGACCTGTCATGCCTGTATCCAGGCGAACGGGGACCAAGACCGTCTTTCCTCGCGTGGGGCGAGCGGGTTCTTGATCTTCCTCTGATGGGTGAACGTCCGCGTAACGGCGGATCGACATCCATCTTCTCGTCCTCATCACCGGAATCACTCTCGGCTTCTCCGCCGAGGTTGTATTCGCCCACACCTCCGAAAATGTCATCGTCGTCATCGACTTCTACAGGTGGCGGTGGAGCGATGTTTTTCGTCGTTGTCGCTCCTGGCTCCGGAGCTGCTTCTGCTTTCGCAGGCGGTCTCCCCTCCGTTCCGACGGCATTCGGCGCTTCAGACGTCCCAGATTCCGCTGTCAATCTCGATAGCTGAGCGGACTCTCCGGCCTCTGGCTCTGGTTCCGGCTTCACCTTCTTCTTTTTCTTTTTCTTCTTCTTTTCGCCAGACGCAGCTTCGGCTTCCGCCTTCTTCTGAGCTATTGATTTGAACTGAATAAGGAATACACAACGTAATATCAGTCTTCCTGTCTACTTACGCAGCAAACTCGCAGATGGGGAATTTCTTTTCTACGGGTTGCAATCGATTGTAGGGAATGCGATTTGGGCCGTTCGCCCGAGTGCAGCGTGAAAACAATTTCGCCGTCCCCTAAAGGCCAAAGGTGCAGCCACAATCAGGAGGAACTTACTCCTTTGCCGAGACCTTCCTCTTTCTTGTCTTTCTTCCCCTCCTTTTGGTCCTTCTTACCCAATCCCTGGCCTAGCATCTCAAGCTCGTCGTCCATCTCTTCCCCTTCTTCCCGCGCCAATTCCGCTTTCCGAGCCGCCAAGAGCGCATAATCTAGACCCTTGACAAGCACTGAATGCTCAGCATCACCACCCAAGTACGCTCGCTGCTTCTCCAATTCTTCAAGTTCTTCGGGCCGCGTTGCGCTCGCTTTTCGAGCTTCGAAATCTTCGAGCAGTTTTTCGACCTACACCGAATTCCTTCAGTACACGACACTCCCGCTAGTCCAACAAACACGAAAGCGTAGAGCCAAAAGTGATCATACTTCACTGCAGCCCACTCACAGATCGATATTCATCGTCCACACCTGTCCTCCTCATCTCAGCTCGATCCTTATACTGGCTCTCCACTTTCTTCTGGTGCTGCCTAGGCGCGAAAGCGGGTTTGGCCGGTTTGTCTTCTTTCTTCTTCTCATAGCTGATATGAAGCAGATAGGCCCAAGTCAGATGGAGACTCAAAGGAAAAGGTATATGTTGAAGCAGACTTACCCTTCTTTGACTTTTAGGCCCCATCCTCGCTTCGGAGCTGGTCCACCCAGCACTCCTCGTGAACTGGATGAGGTCGAGCTACCCGCCGCCCTCGGCGCCGGGAGCATATTTCGGAAGGCATCCTATGGAGTATCAGCACTCGGCGAGGCCCCGAGGCTCGTCGTACAGATGGAATCACTCACCTGGTCCATCTTGATCGCTTCTTGTTGTCTTGTGATGAAACGCAACGAGCAGAGTCAACAAAAACAAACGGTGTGAGAATGCACATGCACATATACCGAACCGAACCTGACGATGAGCGAGTGAGAAAGTGGTGACGTAACCGTTGTCAGAGGGGCGCGCTGTGGTCTGTCGTCTGAGAAGATTGAGAATACCCTGATATTGCAATCACCTCCAGTGCAGTATCTTGTGTTATGTGTGGTGAGCTGGCCTGTGCCACTTCTCACACCGCAGCTTCATTCAGCCTTCCAATACCGCCTTCCACACCCATTTCCTAGGCCCCAGGTATCACTCAAGTCGCTTTGTAACTTACAACGAACAGCCGCGGGCCCGTGTGGCGAAATTGGTCATCGCACCCGACTTTTACGTAAACACGTTCAAGGCCCAATCGGGCGGTTGCGGGTTCGAGCCCCGCCATGGGCTTCTTTTTTCTTGGGGCTCGAGGGATATGGGGGAGCAAAAGTCGCGAGGTCTTCGAGTCTTTGGACAACGCCAAAGCATAAAATCTCGGCGATGACCGCTGAGTAGTATGGTCGATGTGATAACCACGTGGCTATTTTCAACCGATCGTTGTCGTCGACCCCCCTTGTAAGGCACGATGCCGGTCCGCGATGGTTCGAATCCCGATCTGGCATAAGTAGAGCTTGTCGATCGATGAGGTTTTGGAACATCTGGCGTCATCAATTCTACCCGTTTTTCTTTGTATTACAGCATTAACGATGTAACGATACCAGAGCTAGACATGATCCTGATTCGTAGAGCTCCGCGCTTGCAGGTACAGAGCGCTTTTATGAATTGTCTTGTGTTTGGTTTACGGTAAAACGAACGGGCTCTGTCAATCTTGGCCGATGCCGTTCGATACGATGGCAGTGCTTGCTACTGGCCGTGCTGATGATGCAATACCGATTCAACCATACAAAGATATCGCATCGGAGGCGCAGTCGCAGTCGCAGTCGCGTGCATTGCGGTTGATCTATCTATCATCTTTGCCTGCTTTGCCAGAGGATTGGCTCGCCGCGGGTTCGTCAGTTGTACGGATGAGTTTACTTTTGTCAAGTTCGACTCATTATTCGATATAACCCTGTTCTTTTCTACTCAGTCAACGGTTGAACACTATTTGTGCGAAGACTGCCAGTATGGCACCAAGGACAAACAACATCGTGATCATCGGTTCAGACCTGATAGGAACTTCCACTGCATACTACCTGAGCCAGAGTCCCAATTTGGACGAAGATACGAATGTCATCCTGGTGGAGGAAGATGAGGTTGGAGGTAATTCGCAGAAATGCGGGAGCGGATTGATCGGCGGTGGCGGCGGCGGAGATGTGGGGTCTGTGGACGGAACAAGTACATCGCTGCCAGGTAAGTTGTTGTGTCCTCGAAAGGATTCGCGAGGTGCGGCGTTTGGCTGATCACAGGCTGCTGATGCTCACACTGTCCCCCACACAATACTCATGCTATCAGACCTCACAGAGTTCAGCTTGAAGCTGCACTCCAAGCTCGCCCGGGCATATGACGGGATTCTCAAGTGGGGCTATAGCCCTATAGAAGTGCATGTGAGCGGAGCGCTGAACAGAGCCATTTTACGTTCAGCGAGCGGAGTCGCTCCAACCTTGAGGAGAGAGAGAGGCCCGATCGCTAATGTCATTTATCGCATGCGACACATCCCCTCAGAGAGCTGAATTCGACCACCCAGCATCGAGCTCCTCCTTTTCCAGCTCGCCCCAGGGGTTTGCTACGAAATCAAGCAGCCCGTCTAGCCCTATATCAACCCATTTCCCAGCCCTCAGATCCGTGCACGCCTCTTCCTCTGCACCCTCCCTACCGAGCACATCGACAGCTTCGAGCGCAGTGATAGATCCCGTCCTTCTCACGCGACACCTCTGCTCGATCTTCCTCAGTCATCCGAGGTGTTCGCTCTTGATAGCCGAAGCGACTTCCCTGACCTTTGCAGAGGAGCCTCGGCACGGATCGTCATCGTCATCGCCATCGTCGGGCGCTACGGGCGAAAAGAGGAGAGTGAGCGGCGTCAATGTTGTGCAGAAGATCAACGGAGTCGAAGAGATCGTGCATGTTGCCGCGGATTCAGTCCTCATTTCCACTGGATCCAAGTTGCTTTCGACATCAAAGACTCTGCTGGGCGGAGAAGCGGTACATCGGTTGCGGTTAGACGAGCGTATAGCGGAGGAGAGGAGGGAATGCGTGGTGATGAAACCGAGAGAGAAGATCGACCCGCTCGCCTTGAGGGTGAAGGTGGGGCAAGGAGAGAGAGTCGGAGGGAAGGATAGCGGTCTGCAGAATGGAAGTGACTTTGGAGGAACACTTCCGGGCAATCCCGATGTGGAGATTGTGATCAGAGATGATGGGCGTGTGCATATGTGAGTGTACATATCGCATGTCACATCGATCGTCGCTCAAAAATTCAATCCCTTCTGACCGCACTTTTCGCGCTTCTGATACAACATGTTACAGCTGTCGAACGGTGCCAGGGACAATGTCCAGTGGATCAAGTAGATCCCCCTCAATTAGACCGCGAGTCAGTGTCAATGGTCATAACAGGGAGTCAGATGCAGGCACAGATGGAAAGGATATTGATGGTCATACCAACCATCAACCTGAGCCTCAGCAAGACCTCTTAACGATCGTCGAGAGTATAACTCCCCACCTCAAACTTTCTATCGGGACGCTCTTGATCTCTCATACCAGGCATCAAGTACCCTTCTTGACGATCAATGCCATCTCATCAGCTGAACCTGGCGACCCGGATGCACAGGCGGCTCTGGCAGGACCCGTGGATGGGTTCCAGGGGGTCTGGATGGGTCTATCGTGAGTTTTCCTGGTTGTCCTGGTTGACCAAACCAACGGGCCAATTCATACAATACTGATCCTACACTCGAACGTTGCCAGGCATCGATCAGATCCAACCTTAGGTATGTCTCACGCAGCCTCCTCCTCGGCTCCTCGACGCGTTCGCGCGGCTTGCCTCCGCACTTACTTTGCGATGAGAAGAGACAGCTGAGTGCTTTGATACGACTCTTGTTCTTTTCAGGCCCCGGGATTGGCTCTATCCTTGCCGAGCAGATATTAGGGGTCAAATCGACAACCGATATCAATCTCGATGAGTTTAGACCATAGACGATAGCACCGTTGCTCGGTGAGGGAGCATTGCTCATGAAATCGAGCGACGCTCAGGTTCCATCTTTCCCTCTGTACCACACACACACACACACACACACACACACACACACACACACACACACACACACACACACACACACACCAAAGCTTTCATCGGATGCATGTACGTATATCACTCAGCACATGTCAGAAGTATACGAAGATAAAGCGACAACAGTGGAAGACCAAGCATGATCATCGAAGAACGATACAATTGGATATGTCGAGACAAAGAGATACAACGAAAAGTACAAATAACAAGGCGTAAGATACAACGCTGATGATTGTAGATACAGCTCCCTCACATGATCGTACAGCTCCCGTTCGCATTTCCGTAAGCGCCCATTGCCAGTCCGCTCGCAGCACTGCCCCTTCTCCTGCCCAGCCTGCTCCTCCTGCCGCCGCTACCGCTCCCCTGTGCGACTGCACTTTCATCAGCGTCACCATCCGCCCCGCCATCAGCTGCTGCTGCTGCAGCCGCCGCCGCGGCGGCCGCCAGCCCCTTCGCTTTGGCATGCTGCAACTCTGCTACATTCCGGCTCTCCCTCCAATCCCGAACCGTCTTCATGTCCTTCCAGGACCAAGTCGTCTTGATTACAGGAAGCTTCAACATCATGTTCGAGGCGACGTTAACATTGGCGCTGATCTGTTCGGCTGTGACCGTGTTCATGACCTCGCTGGTATCGTATTCGAAGGGTGTAGCGGCCCAGCCCGTCCAACCGTGTCTCACCCTGTAAGCCCAATGCAAGCTATGGTGAGTGTGTTGCGTGATAGCGTGGCAGTCGAGCATAGACACCGTCAGAATCCCAGGACAGGTATGCGATCGTTTATGGATTTCCCGTATAACAGACCGGTCCGCCGAAGTGTCCTGTGTGATGTAGTCACCCAATTCAGTCACATACAACGCTATTCGAGATGTATAGGTCAAATGCTCACGTCGGCTTCAAACAACCTCAGATTCGGACACCACTTGATCACTCTGACCATACCAGCTGGTGTGACGTTCTTCGCAGCTGATATCCTCAACTCGACAAGCTCTTTCCCGACCCGGTCTCCATCGGACGTCCTCCCATAAGCGAGGAGGTCCAAAACCCTATCTGTTACTCCGCCGCGTTCTCCAGTTCTCTCCAGATCCAGTTTTTGGATCTTCGGTGTTGTTCGAAGGAACTCGACTAATTCGCCATCTTCGTCTCTTCCGCCATCGAACAGGTAAGGCAGATCAGCGAGCTCGAACTTGACGAGGTCAGGGAATCGCCCCTTGAGATGCCGAAATACGTCTTTCTTGAGAGCCGCACAGCCAGACAAATCAAGGTGGGTGATACTGCTCTTACGATCGAGGGAATCAAGGACGTCTCCAAATCGCTGGAAGTCACACGTAAATATGTACGTGCAACCTTGGAGATCGAGGGTTTTCAGATTGACCAGACATCGCGCAATGAGAGGCAAAAAGTCACCGGCATAGCGACCGATCGATTTGATACCGCCCAAGTGCAGCGCTTGCATCGCACAGGCTTGATGAGCATCCATTGATCGGATCAGAGTGACAATGTCTCCAAGGGTGATCTTCCAGCACCTCGACACATCCAGGCATTGCAAGCTCCTACATGATTTTGCAACAGCTCGAATGACCTCGGAATCGACCGCTTGAACTCCCTTCAGATTGATGGTCCGCAGGCTTGGTGCGCTCGAGACGATGATGGAGATGTCCGATGAAGTGAGGCTGTCGCAGTGCCGCAGATCGATCGAACGGAGATTGGGTAGCCACATGGTGCGAGTAACGAGTTCCCAGCATTTGTACTTGGGGCGGTCCTGGGTCGACAGCGCAAAGGCGAGCGTTGCGCCGAACAACGAGTCCATACCGCGAAGCCGGAGCTCCCGCACGCATGGCAAGGCTGAAGCAACGATGCTGTGGAAAAGGTCACGATGGATCAAGTGAGCGAAGGGGGTGAGTTCAACGAGAGGCCATAGTTGGCCGTCAAAACATAGGTGTCGCCATCCTTTTGACACCTGGAAGCAGAGAGATCAGCAATTTACTTGAGTACCAGATAAGACTCACCCTGCTCAGTCTGATCAATTCTTTCCTCCCATTCATTTCACCACAAGATCTTCCATTTCCAGTCTCCTCAGCATGTATCCTGAGCAACGTCTTCAGTATCAAAAGCTTGAGTTCACGAGGTAACATGGTGTCAAACAGATCTTCCGGCGCTTCAGCCTTCTCTGCGTCTGCTTTCAACATGGTGAGAAGA